AGAACGAAAGGGAAGAGAAAGGACATTTTTCAGACAGGATCAAAATACACAAAAAATACAAAGGAGCTTTTCCTAGTTAAATTGAGCAGGCTAGAGATTTAAAAGAATGGGGAGAAAAAAGAGCAGGGATGCAAGGTTCAAAAAAAGGCCTTTTGGCCCGCCATAATTAACATTTTTTTTGAGCGGGCTTAAAAATAAGGACAAAAATATATGGACAAAATTTCGGCCAAAGGTTAATAAATAAAAAATATATTTTCAAATCTGAAAGATTTGACACCTGATTATATATTTTCTTCTTACACAACAAATGGGACAATTAACGAAGAAGAGGCTATAATTATGCCAAAATGTTCCTTTATAATTAAATTTGTAAGTTTAATTTTTAACTTAATATAGTCAAATCTAACCCCTTTCCCTTCTGCTATCTCTCTTCTAGATAAATCAATTAAAAATATTTTTTTTAAATTTGGTTGCCCACTGAATTGGGGATTAGCTACAGCTGAATATTTTATATTGGGGTCCGACTTCAGTTCTTTTTAAAATATTTATTTTTTAGTCTGCTAAAAAATATAAACTATTAGTAACACAAAATCCTTGGAAAAACTTTACAAAAACAACATCAATTAATTATTCTACAACAAAATTATCACCTTTCGAAAACAAAACATTTACTACAACATTAAATCCAGAAAACAATTCAACAATTACAGAAACAATATCAACAAAATCTTTAAACATTTCTGAAAACACTACTTTAGTAACAACAGCAACAAAATTAGAAACTTTAAATAAAACCAAAGCAACAATACCAATGCTTATATTTCCGCCAGAACCAAACAAAAGAGAAAAAGATGGAATAATTGATGCGCTAATTATGTTTGCTATACTTATGTAAGTTGTGTTTATTTTGATGTTTGTTTTCCTAATTTATCGAGGAAGTGTCATATCATGACTAGAGATCGAACCGAGTTAGATCTCGATTCTCATATGACATTTCCGGTCAGATCACGGCTATTTCGTACCATCCGACGTAACTTGGGATAGCTAGTAGATTCGTAGATTCGAAGTAGCTAGTATTAGATAAATAGAATAATTCCAAAATTGTCTAGATCCATAGCCATAGTTAAGGGTTGCGTAGATAGTTGTGTTTCTTTCTTGGACATATTTAAAATAAAAATAATTTATTTTTCATTTTAGTCTATTAATTTGTGTTGCAATTGGTTATTATTTAATTTACCTCAATAAAAAAGACAAACCAGAAGACGAATTCAAAAGCGATTTAAGTATAAATCCAGTAGTTATTGTAGCTGAAGATGAAGGTTTGGATGTTGATAAGACACAAGAAGATGAAGAAACAAGTAGTGATAATGAAAATTCTGGGGAATTGAAATTGTTAGTGAGGGAACTAGTAAGTGCTGATAAATCTAACAATAAAGTTGCGAATACAGTTTCTGAGGTGTGCAAGGAAATGAGGGCCTCAGAAATCAAACTTAAGTCGGCTGAGCAGCTTATTCGCGAGAAGGAAAGGAAAATTGCAAATTAAAATTAGCGGATTATATCCGGACGCTGTTGATTGCTGGAAACAACCCGAACGCTTCGGATATTGCAGAAATGGAGAGAATTCTAGAAGGATGGAAAAGGTCTATTTAATAACACTCTTTAGTTTAATAAGTAGTGTTGTTCCTGATAACAATGAGTGTGGCATGGTACCCCGAATGTTCAGCCTGAGAATCGAGGGTGGGTGGTTGGAGATGGCGTTTGGGGAATTTTCGTTTGGGGAGTTTGGGGAGGGTTCGTTTGGTGAGGTTTCGAAAGTGTGAGTTTTTTATTGCACTCAATCTTCAATTTATTTTTGAGATATCAAACTCAATTCTAACAGGCTAATCTTTAATCATGACCAGAGCGAGTTTTTTTAGGTTCAAAAAACCTGATAATAGGTACCTAAAAGGTTCGAAAAAAAGGCTTAAATAGTTGAAAAAAATGCAAAAAGTGGCAAAATAGGTACGAATTTTTAACAAATAGGTTTGTATTGTTAGAGTTTTTTCGATTTTGTGTTTTCAATTTATGGTATTTCAATTTTCACGGCCCGTAATTCGGCCCTATCAAGTCAGATTGCACTGATTTTGGTGTCAATCAACTCAGATTGAGTAGCTCTTTCAAATGAGCTATCATTCAAAAAATCGAATTTTTCACCTCAATTTTTCACCTCACGAATTTTTCACCTTCCTCAACTTCTATATTTAAATCTTTTCCCCGTATGGTTGTTCGATATTTGGGTCCATGTAACTCGGCCCTATGAAGTCAGATCGCTTTGATTTTGGTGTTATTCGACTCAGCTCGGCGAGCTCTTTCGAACTAGTCACGCCTTTGAGAGCTATTTTGAATAACATAAATAACGGTATAAATCGGAGTCTTTGTCCTCAAAGCAATTTTTACCGATAATTGGTTAAAAAAATAATTAAATATCAAAATTAAAATTTTTTTTATAAAAAAACCCAAAAATTTAGTGAAAAAATGACTTAAATCTCAAATATTTGCGAAAATAAAGGCAATTTTTAAGATTTTTATCAAAAAACCTAAAATAGGTCCAAAAAAGGTCAAAATAGGTTGCAAATAGGTTTTAGGTCCGAAAAGGCCGAAATAGGTTTTTTAGGTTCGAATAGGTCCAATATAGACTCATTATTTCGACCCAAAACAGTGTTTTTCGTGCATATCTCATCAAAACTAGTTCGCAAAAAAATAGAGAAAAACCTAAAAAAACTCGCTCTGATCATGACCATCAAATGGAAGGCATTAATAAAAGAAATATTTATTGCAATGTCACCAAGTATGGGTACATCCCGAGTAACGGCGCAAAGCCATAACTTGCTTCAAGCTTTCCGGATCTATCAAATTTAGTATTAAACGATTCCTCTCATCGAGCTAAAAAGATTGGAACCAAAATTGATAAGGGCCAGAAATTTTCCAGCAAGTTATGGATTTGCACCGTTATGGCCGCGTGCCTACTTGCGTGTCCCACCAAATATAAAATAATTTAAAAATCTAATGCACATATTAAAGAAACTTGTGTTACGCAGAATAGGGCGAGGGGTGTTATATCCATAAAGTACCGTTTTATTTTATCTTTAATTCAAATTTTATTTTTTTTTAAATATAATTTTTAAACTTTACTACTATTTTCTTCTCAATTTATAACCTCTTTTTTTTATTATTTAGTCTTGCTTTTTAAGATTTTTAAAAAGGTTTATTCTTCTTTAAATTCAAAAAGGATACATTATAATAAAATAAATTCCTAAAATTGAGTTTGTACAAAAATAGAAAAAATGATTTTTTTCTTAAAAATTTAAATAAATATTTCTTTCAAATATTTCTTTGTGTTTTTAACTTTTAAATGATTTTTTTACATTTTTTTAAAATTTTCCCAATTAATTAAAAATCTATTTAAATTTAAAATAATTTTAATTAATTAACACATTCTTTGTTCTTTTAAAGGAACGAAAATTTCAATTCTTTTCTTTCATTAAAAATAAAAAAATTTTATTTTAAACCACCATATGTTTCTTTTTAATTTATATCAAACAATTGTTTCTTTAAAAAATTTTTTACTTGAAACCAAAAAATATTTTTTATTTATTAAATTGTTAAAATTAATTGTTATTTATTTTTGTGTTTTAACTTTTAAAAAAATATTTTTAATATTTTGTTTGTTTTTAATAAAATTTGGTAAAATAATTTTATTTAATTATTTAATTATGTATAAATTTAAATATAAAATAGTTTTGAGTTTTGTCTTCTAATTTTTCAAAAATTCTAGAGGCCACAGTTTTGTCAGGCGGTCCCTAAAAGTTAAACATTGTCTCAGATACTTTATAAGGCGCATATAAAGTTCTGTGGGGGCTGCCTCGGGAACTTGGTTTTTACTAAAAATTCTATATCACAAGCTTAAAATATTTATTTTAAAATTTAAAAATTTTTGATTGAAATTCTAGAAAATAAAAAAAGCATCAAAGAAGAAAGCTTGACACTTTCAGAATTATTATTTATATTTTTTTAAATTTATTTATAAAAAATATTATTTTTTCTCTATTTTTTGTTGTCAATATTCAACAAAAACTTTATATTTATTTAATCTTTCCTCCTTTCTTTTTAATATTTTCATGCCAATTCCAATTAAATTTTAATATTTATCTATTTTCTCCTTTTTTGGCCAAGAATCACACACACACACAAACATTTTTATTTTTAAAAGCTTTGCTTGTCTCTCAAGTTTTTATAATTAATGCTTCTTCTTTTTCCACAAATCTTAAAAAATAAAAATGTTCTTCTCTTTTTTTGTTAATTAATTAAATTTGAGATTTTTTGTTGTCAATTTGAATTTTTGTTTTGTTTAAAATATTAAATGACAGAAACAAAAAATATTTTTTTATTTACATATTTTTTGTGAAAATAATTTTAAATTAATTTTTAAAAATTTTTAGTTTAATTTTTAATATTTTTAAAAAATGGGAAATACTCATCCAAATGGTGGAGGGAATTATTCTAGCCCAGCAATAAATACAAGCGCATCGAATGTAAATTAATAAATTTGTTTAAATTTAAAATATTAGAAAAAATTTATAACAGTTTTTTTATTAATTAGCCTCCTTAGGCTTTATTAATTAGCCTCCCACTCTCTATTAGTTACCCCCTCGAGTGTGAAGTTGAAAAAAATACCACCCTCTTTCAAATGCCCTACAAATTCAAAACTCGAATAATCACTCTCTCTCTCCCGCGATTAATACCCTCTCCAGCGAGAGGTTGAGACACCCAGGAAAATTATTCAAGGAAATACTTCCAGAGTCCAGATTAAGGCATTTTTTAGAGTTCCTTGATTTTTCCTTGACTCAAGATTAAGAATCTGGTCAAGGTACCCAACCGGAATCAAGGTTTTTGAAAATCTCGCTCTCTAATATTTATTTATTTAGTCAATCCAAAAATCCGGAAAATCTACTCGATTTAAAATGACAGAAATTTTGGGTTTACGACGTCAATCGACAGGGAATGAAGTAATTAATTCAATTAAAATAAAGGTATTGAATAAATAAATAAATTTTCGAAATAAATTTATTAAAAGAATAATAATTATCGTTCATTCACTCAAAGTGCCCATCAATCTATAGAAATTTGTGAACAAGTAAACATTTTTTTAATATTTTTTTGAACAAATGTTTCGTTTTTTTAAAGTTCAATTCCTTCAAAGAAGAAAATAAAATAATTAAAAATAATAAAAATACTTCCTCACTTCCACAAATTGAAATAAATGGAGTTAATCAGGAAAAGGAAATTAATGAGGAAAAAAAAGTAAAAAAATATTTTTTTGAAAAATTAAAAAAAATTTAAATTAAATTTCAGAACAATTCTGATATTCAACAAAATACAGAAATTAATTTAGAAATTAATTCTTTAAATAATCAAAAAGGAGAAAGTGAATGTTCTTCAGCAATCCCTTTATATTTTAAAGTAAATTTTAATTAAATTAAATAATTAAATAATTATTTTTAGCATAAAGCCCAAAAAGTTGATTCACGCAAAATAGCTGCCAAAAAACGTCTTGAAAGGGGTGAGTTTTAAAAAAATATTATTTATATATTTCTAAAATTAAATTGAAACATTTTAAAGGCCAAACGACTAGCGGTTCTGATAATTCTTCACAAAATGCCAAAAAAGTATGCTATTTATTAAATATATATTTCTCTTTGATTTTTTCCGAAAAATACAAATTAGCTATGGATTAGTGGCACACACACCCTTTCACAATTTCGGGAATCAGGACGGCGCGATCCCTGATACAAACTTTAGTACAACGTACACCCAACCTTTCATAAACCCTTAAGTTAAGGTACCTTTTTAAAATAAGTCAGCCATTGAGTAGAGAATACAGATCGAGCTGGACCAAGGCCTGAATTTTTCCTGTACCCAGAGTCCAGGTCCAGGCATTTTTTAACTTTCCTGGGTTTTTCCTGGGCCTGGGTTTTTCTTGAACTACAGGCCCAGGATCCGGCACAGGTCAATAAATCTAACTCCAGAGTATATACCAATTTCTTTATTTAAAATTAATTTTTAAAATTTTTTCCTTAATTAATTAATTAATTAAATTAATTTTTTAGTCATCATTCTCAGAAAGAACACTTGCCAAATCATTAGATAATAAATACACAGTTAATTAATTTAAATAAAATAAAATTTAACTTTTAATTTAATTAAAAAAGGACAATAATTTTTTATTTGATTTGAAACCTTTACAATCAAATATAAAATGTTCTCCCAATCACCATTCACAACAACGTTTGGGAAGTGTTGGAAATGTTTTTGGATTAATTAATTTAAATAATCGTTTATTTTCCTCGAATATTGAAATTAATATTTTAAATTTTGAGGTGAATTAAAGGATTTTTTTAGATTAATTTTTAATTAATTTAAATGTAGCAATCAGAAATAATACAAAAAACTTGGTTATTAGCTAATGAAAAAATTAGACTTTTTGCTGGGCCAGATAGAAGCTTTGCTTTGCTTTACGTTACTACCTTAACAACTACATTAAAAACTAATAAAACCAAAACAACAATACCAGTGCTCATATTTCCGCCAGAACCAAACGAAAAAGAAAAGGATGGAATAATTGATGCGATAATTATGTTTGCTATACTTATGTAAGTTGTGTTTTTTTATGTTTTGTAGGTCTACTGCAAGACTAGTATCAGGACAAAATATCGGACAGACAAAATTTTGTGCAAAAATAGTCATTGAGAAACGATATTTTTAGAGACATGCCGAATAATGTCAAAATCGTCTAATACGATTTCATTTCCATAAGCATAGTCATCCTTGTGATGAACTAGGCCACTGTCGGGGAAGGGAACCAAGAGAAAACACTCAAATCTATCTATGTATATCCACCTTAATCTCTTTAAATTTCCCAATATACTTATTTCAAATCCAATTTTATTCAACATCCTCCTATAAAGCGTATCCCTGGGAGGATTCCCAGGGATATCCTCCAATATCTTTTATTCCTCTGTTATACCTGATATCAGTTTAAATTCCTGATTAAAAATTTTCATTCTTTTTTAGTCTATTAATTTGCTTTGCAATTGGTTATTATTTAATTTACCTCAAGAAAAAAGAAAAACCATTTTTAATTAAAATTTTTTGTATTATTTTTTAACTTTTATTTATCGATATTTAATTTTTAAACTTTAATATTTTCTTCTCAATTTATAACCTTTTTCTTTTTAATATTTAGTCTTCTTTCTTAGAATTTTTTAAAAGGTTTATTTTTTTTTAAATTCAAAAATGATATTTTTTTCAAATGCTTTTTTGTGTTTTAACTTTTAAATATTTTTTTACAATTTTTTTAAATTTTTACAATTAAAATAATTTTAATTAATTAACAAAATTGAAATTTAAAAACAACCAAAAAAATATTTTTTTATTTATTAAATTGTTAAAATGAATTGTTATATATTTTTGTGTTTTAATTTTTATGTAAATTATTATATGTATTTTTAAAATTTTGTTTGTTTAAATTAATTTTTAATAATAAAGGTATACAAACCAGGAATGGGACGGGTTGCCCGAAATCCGGCAGATAAATTTTCGAAAATCCGAAACCCGACTTTATTCTCACCCCGTCCCATCCAGATACGAACATCATCGAATTCATAGGAACGAAGGAAAAATAGTTTCCAGCAATCAACAGCGTAATCGGCAAATTTATAATTTGCAATTTCCCTTCCCTTTTTTGCGAATAATCTGCCCAGCAGTCTAAGTTTAATTTCAGAGGCTCTCTCTCCTTGCAAACATCAGCAACTGTATCCGCAACTTTAGATTTATCTGCACACGGCACACTCACTACAAGTGAATTCCTCTTCATTCTTTTCAATTTTTAAAACAAAATCCTTATCCTCCTTTTGTTTCTTCTCTTGTTTTTCTTCTTCTTCTCTTTGTGTTTTATCAACCATTAAACTATTACTAGTTCCCTCACTAACAATTTCAACTTCCTCAGAATTTTCATTATCACTACTTGTTTCTTCATCTTCTTGTGTTTTATCAACATCCAAACCTTCATCTTCAGCTACAATAACTACTGGATTTATACTTAAATCGCTTTTGAACTAGCAAAGTTCTAGCATAATTTTAGTGTATAAAAACCCATGTTTTTGTGACTTTCTACCCGCAGTTCTCAACAAACAAGTTTTGCCCGCTTAAATCTTTTGCCCGTCTACTGTGTGTTGTTGCCCTATTTTGCAGCATGCAGAAGCAAGGAGGTAACACTTTTTCGTTACACTTCTTACCTCTAAACTTATTGTTTTAATTTAAGATTATGAGAATTCGCTTCTTGTGGTGGAGCCGAGTGTTGATAAATCCAAGGTCGCTGATACGGTATCTGATGTCTGTAAAGAAATGAGGGCATCTGAGCTCAAACTTCGATCCGCTGAACAAATCATCAGAGAGAAGGAGAGGGAAATTGCACGTTATAAATTCGCTGATAGGATCCGTGCGGTGATTGTGAGTGGAGACACCCCAAAAGCTTCGGACATTGCTGAAATGGAGAGAATTTTGGAAGTTTGGAAAAGGTCTGTTTAATAACACTTTAGTTTAAAAATATGTATATTTTGAACTTTTTTAGTTCTCTTGTTCCGACTACGAATGAATATGGTATGGTACCTAATGTTCAGCGCGGGGATCGAAGGTAAGAGAATTAACTGTTAACTGTCTAATTAATTTATTCAAATTTCTTATTTCAGTGATCAGATTTCTGAATATGTCGGCAGCGGTGCAGTGGCTAGTTCCAACACTCCTTTGTAATTGAAATGAAGAGCGAATAATATGTATGAGGTAAATAGATAAATATGTAGATCTAATAGTTAATATGTAATTTTGTATATGAGTTGTAATTGTATGTAGTTATGCTTGTATTGTGTTTTGTTGTATAAAAGAAAAATTTAAAGCATTTCCGAAAAAATAGAAAATTGGGAGGAATCCCATTAAATAGGACTAGAAATGAAAACTTTCCGGAAAATAAATTAAAGGGGAGAGTCAGAAAGCAGAAATACAGACTTTCTGAAAAATCAAATAAATTCGAAAAGAAATTTTGAAAAATTTAGGTATTTAAATTAAAGTTCTGAGAATGGTATTATATAAAAGCTCATTGTTTTTGTTGTTTGTTCATCTAAACAATCAAAACATGTCTTCCTCAAAAACTGTTTCAATGCTTTTTGCTACTTTTGTTTTTGTCATTTATTCTGTCGGATTGTTAAATCTTGTTGAATCTACTACTAGAATAATTGAAGTTGGACGGGGCAAACACAAATTGGAGGGTGATAATGTGATTCTGAGTGATGGTTCGAGGATTGCTGAAGAAGAGGCTTGTATGACTACAACTCTCTATCAAAAAGAGGATCATGTCATTTAGAAATTGACTACGACCATATATAAATTAAATACTTTTCTACACATAACAATTTTTAAAAATATTTTCAGAATTGTGTACTTTCAAAAACGTGGAGGTTGTACTGTGGACTTTGTTGAAGATTCGGATATTTTAAACTTTTTCGATACTTCACTTACTGCTGTATTCACAGTAGTATTGTATAATGGTTGAAATTCGTTATCTGATTGTTTAAAGAATTGTTCTTTTGATTTAGAAGTAATGAAGACTAAAATGTATGTCAATTAATATACATATTCTTATAAAAATATTTTATTTTAGTCTGAGTCTTTCCTTTACCGATAATGATTTGCCGATGGGTGTATATCAAATAGGAAGTTGTATTAGTGGTGATAGATTGTTTGTTGGATCATTTCTAGGTAAATTCTAAAATTGCTTCAAAGTTAATTTATAAATTTAATGCTGTCAGTTGTTCATATTCTTCTATATGTTTCAAAAGAAATATCAGCTCTCTCACAAGTCTATTAAACTCAATTTTTTATGAACATGTTTCCTCGTCTAATTGAAGAAGGAAACTCCACCTATTGTTATTCACCTTTCAAGACATTTAAACATAAAAAAGAATTAATTAAAGTAAAGGCTTGGAAAATTATATGTAAATGTTGGAGATAATAGCGATAAAAGTTTAATTGGCAAACGATTAATTGTTTTACATTTATTGCCCAATTATATGTTCCATTCTTGCACAAGAAATGGGACAATTAATGAAGAAGAGAAGATGGATATCCGAAAATGTTCCTTTGCAATTGAATTTGTAAGTTTAGTTTTTAACTTAATATGGTCAAATCCCACTATAAAATACCCCAATCTCTAAGCGATACCACTCAATTCAGTTTGCATAATAAGGTACAATTTTTAAACTAAGGATGTAATTTTATAGAGATTGACTGCAATTCTTTTTTGAATTTTTATTTTTTAGTCTGTTGAAAAATATAAAATTTTAACAACACAGTATAAACCTCGGAAAAAATTTACAAAAAACAACAACATCAATTAATTATTCTACAACAAAATTACCACCTTCTTTTAACAACAATTCAACAATTACAGAAACAACATCAACAAAAACTTTACACCTTTCCGAAAATTTAGTAACGACTACAAATCAATTAACAACTTCAAATAAAACTAAAGCAACAATACCAGTGCTTATATTTCCAACTGAAGCAAACGAAAGAGAAAAGATGGAATAATTGATGCGATAATTATGTTTGCTATACTTATGTAAGTTGTGTTTATTTTGATGTTTTGTCTCATTCTTTTATGACATTCCCAGTCAGATGTCTAATCATGGCTATTTCGTACCATCCGACTTAGTTTGGGGTAGCTAGTGGAGTCGACATAGCTATTAGTAGATAAGTAGAATAATTCCAAAATTGTCTAGATCCATAACCATAGTTAAGGGTTGTGGTAGATCATGGTGTTCCCTTCTTGTACATATTTAAAATAAAAATAAATTTTCCTATATTTTTAGTCTATTAATTTGTTTTGCAGTTGGTTATTATTTAATTTACCTCAATAAAAAAGACAAACAGAAGACGAATTCAAAAGCGATTTAAGTATAAATCCAGTAGTTATTGTAGCTGAAGATGAAGGTTTGGATGTTGATAAAACACAAGAAGATGAAGAAACAAGTAGTGATAATGAAAATTCTGAGGAAGTTGAAATTGTTAGTGAGGGAACTAGTAATAGTTTAATGGTTGATAAAACACAAAGAGAAGAAGAAAAACAAGAGAAGAAACAAAAGGAGGATAAGGATTTTGTTTTAAAAATTGAAAAGATGAAGAGGATGGAAATATTGTTAAAGTATATGTACATTATTGTTGGTATTATATTATTAAAATGTTTCTGTATGTATATAATGTTTTTATAAATATATATTACTTTTATTTTTTAATATTTTATTTTTTTATCTACTTAGGTTGTGTCATAAATAATTAGCCCCCCTTGAGCAAAGTTAAATAAATATTTATTAAAATTAAACTAGATCTTTTCAGACTTCGAATTATATTTTTCTATGATCCTAAGAGAGTTGCCTATTTTCTGGCAAAAAATCAGAATCCTAGGATTAGGTTGGCCGGAGTTAGAGGTAAAATACTAAAACGTGTATTTTTGAAACGAGGCAAATTCTTTTTGATTTTTCTTTTCAAAATTGATGAGTAAGAATGAAAATTTAAATAGACTCTGATAGAGCAGAATCTGATGAATACAATGATATAAGAAATTCCCCTGGAAAACAACTGGCTGATTTTTTATAGGGTCGCATTTGTGAAATAGGGGCTAACATTATGCTGCATTAGGATTACCCCTGCGCGAAAATGCCCAGAGAGGCCAGTAGACCGGATTTTTCGATGGACTCGATCTATATGGGAATAATACAATTTGGTTATAAGCCCCCAAAGTTTTAGGGTCCCACACATATAAACAATTTCTTTTTATATATGTCGGCGGCCAAATTACAATTTAGGACAAATTGCATTTGGCCGGCCAAATTACATTCATTTTAAGAAATTTCGATTTTTCTTTGTGTTTTAAATTGGGGATGGGTTCCGAAATAGTTTTTCATGTTCGGGACCTACGCCCACTGGGTCTGGGACCGTTCCTTACCCTATCCTTCGAAATTTCTTAAAGTTATTGCCAATTTTTAAAAATTTCAGAAAAACGATTATAACTTACTGAAATTTCAAGGAATAGGGTACGGACGGTCACAGATCAAGTGGGCGTAGATCTCGAACATGAAGAACTGTTTCGGAACCCAACCTCAACTGTTAAACCTAATAAAAATTGATATTTTAAAAATAAATGTAATTTGGCCGCCTACATATATGTACAAATGTGTTCTTCGGTGGTGCAGTGGTAGCGTTCTTGAATTTACTTTTTTCCCCCAAATTCGAATCCTGATTGGTAAATTAATTTATTTTAACATAATTTTAGTCTTTTATTAAATTTGTGATTTTTATCCGAATGTTTTTGCAAAAAAATTTTAAAAACTTTTTAATTTCTTAACTATTTATTTCTCCCCTTATTCATTCCCATGGTGTTCCAGAAAAAGCCTTGTGTTATTCCTTCCTTTGTAGTGTTTTCAAAAAATTTCAAAAAATTTTTTTTTGATTTTAAAAACAAAATTTTGAAAACAAAAGCTAATCTAAAATATAAAAAAATTTTAATATCAGATGAATACTTTTTGGGAAAAAATGAGATTTAAAGTTTTGATCGTATACTTTTGCACCAACAAAAATACGGGTAAATTTATTTAAAAACCAGACTGTATATTTTTGAGGATTTGATTTGAAATTATTATAATACATATATTTTAAGGAAAGGTAAGGGGGAAGGAATAATGCATTAATTTGAGGGAGGGGTGCAAGAAAATTAAATTTTTTAATGCGGCCGGGTAAAAAAGAATGGCATGCGATTATTTTAAAATTACATGTAATTATAAAGAAATTGTAAAAGTAAACATGTAGAATAGAAATAATGCTATAGAATAATGGGCTCTATATGAAAGGAATGGGCTCTATATGAAAGGAATGGGACACTCAAAATATCCCCATAATGGTCAATTTTGACTAGATAATTCTCTCTACATTATACTTAGGCCGTAGGGAAAATAAACGCTAAAGGATTAATATACAAAAAATAAATTAAAGGCAATATTTCTCTTTTAATTTTTTTAAAAATGCTGCTGATATTGATTACTAATCTTGCTCTTGCATTTTGGCGAAAAAGTGCTTCCTTCATGTATGAATCAGTCAAATTTGTGCTTATTTTATAAATTCTTTTTGTCATATTTTAAATGTGTCCAAAGACCCTCACATATATTTGTGTTTCATTCATCTCAGTTCCATCATACATTTTTACAATTTTATGAAATCCGCATCCTGTCTGCTTTTTGTGTCGAATTAGCATGTGTCTTAAAAGAAATATGGATAAAATCAACACAAATAACCGTTTTTACTTGTGTTGGGGGAGTTTTCTTTCCATTTGTAAGAAAGCTGGCCGCTCGTCATTAATAATTATTGTCTTGATCCATTTATTGATCAGTTTGAAGTATCTTTTGTTTTCAGTCTTGGACTCGTTCACCGATTGCTTGTCTTCACTCACCTTATTCAATGATACAAATTACCTAAATTTTTGAATGTTTTTGAAACAAAATATAAAACTTACCACATTTTGGTTACTTATTTGAGAAGGCCTATGTTGTGCTTTTGTTTGACCTAACAAGTCTCATCAATCTCAATTATCTTCTGATATCCCCTATATAAACATGTAGAATAGAAATAATGCTATAGAATAATGCATAATTATATTATTTTAGGATTTCGTGTGATTATAAAGAGAGAATTGTGAAAGTAAACATGTAGAATAGAAATAATGCTATAGAATAATGCATAATTATATTATTTTAGGATTTCGTGTGATTATAAAGAGAGAATTGTGAAAGTAAACATGTAGAATAGAAATAATGCTATAGAATAATGCATAATTATATTATTTTAGGATTTCGTGTGATTATAAAGAGAGAATTGTGAAAGTAAACATGTAGAATAGAAATAATGATATAGAATAATGCATAATTATATTATTTTAGGATTTCGTGTGATTATAAAGAGAGAATTGTGAAAGTAAACATGTAGAATAGAAATAATGCTATAGAATAATGCATAATTATATTATTTTAGGATTTCGTGTGATTATAAAGAGAGAATTGTGAAAGTAAACATGTAGAATAGAAATAATGATATAGAATAATGCATAATTATATTATTTTAGGATTTCGTGTGATTATAAAGAGAGAATTGTGAAAGTAAACATGTAGAATAGAAATAATGCTATAGAATAATGCATAATTATATTATTTTAGGATTTCGTGTGATTATAAAGAGAGAATTGTGAAAGTAAACATGTAGAATAGAAATAATGCTATAGAATAATGCATAATTATATTATTTTAGGATTTCGTGTGATTATAAAGAGAGAATTGTGAAAGTAAACATGTAGAATAGAAATAATGCTATAGAATAATGCATAATTATATTATTTTAGGATTTCGTGTGATTATAAAGAGAGAATTGTGAAAGTAAACATGTAGAATAGAAATAATGCTATAGAATAATGCATAATTATATTATTTTAGGATTTCGTGTGATTATAAAGAGAGAATTGTGAAAGTAAACATGTAGAATAGAAATAATGCTATAGAATAATGCATAATTATATTATTTTAGGATTTCGTGTGATTATAAAGAGAGAATTGTGAAAGTAAACATGTAGAATAGAAATAATGCTATAGAATAATGCATAATTATATTATTTTAGGATTTCGTGTGATTATAAAGAGAGAATTGTGAAAGTAAACATGTAGAATAGAAATAATGCTATAGAATAATGCATAATTATATTATTTTAGGATTTCGTGTGATTATAAAGAGAGAATTGTGAAAGTAAACATGTAGAATAGAAATAATGCTATAGAATAATGCATAATTATATTATTTTAGGATTTCGTGTGATTATAAAGAGAGAATTGTGAAAGTAAACATGTAGAATAGAAATAATGCTATAGAATAATGCATAATTATATTATTTTAGGATTTCGTGTGATTATAAAGAGAGAATTGTGAAAGTAAACATGTAGAATAGAAATAATGCTATAGAATAATGCATAATTATATTATTTTAGGATTTCGTGTGATTATAAAGAGAGAATTGTGAAAGTAAACATGTAGAATAGAAATAATGCTATAGAATAATGCATAATTATATTATTTTAGGATTTCGTGTGATTATAAAGAGAGAATTGTGAAAGTAAACATGTAGAATAGAAATAATGCTATAGAATAATGCATAATTATATTATTTTAGGATTTCGTGTGATTATAAAGAGAGAATTGTGAAAGTAAACATGTAGAATAGAAATAATGATATAGAATAATGCATAATTATATTATTTTAGGATTTCGTGTGATTATAAAGAGAGAATTGTGAAAGTAAACATGTAGAATAGAAATAATGCTATAGAATAATGCATAATTATATTATTTTAGGATTTCGTGTGATTATAAAGAGAGAATTGTGAAAGTAAACATGTAGAATAGAAATAATGCTATAGAATAATGCATAATTATATTATTTTAGGATTTCGTGTGATTATAAAGAGAGAATTGTGAAAGTAAACATGTAGAATAGAAATAATGCTATAGAATAATGCATAATTATATTATTTTAGGATTTCGTGTGATTATAAAGAGAGAATTGTGAAAGTAAACATGTAGAATAGAAATAATGCTATAGAATAATGCATAATTATATTATTTTAGGATTTCGTGTGATTATAAAGAGAGAATTGTGAAAGTAAACATGTAGAATAGAAATAATGATATAGAATAATGCATAATTATATTATTTTAGGATTTCGTGTGATTATAAAGAGAGAATTGTGAAAGTAAACATGTAGAATAGAAATAATGCTATAGAATAATGCATAATTATATTATTTTAGGATTTCGTGTGATTATAAAGAGAGAATTGTGAAAGTAAACATGTAGAATAGAAATAATGCTATAGAATAATGCATAATTATATTATTTTAGGATTTCGTGTGATTATAAAGAGAGAATTGTGAAAGTAAACATGTAGAATAGAAATAATGCTATAGAATAATGCATAATTATATTATTTTAGGATTTCGTGTGATTATAAAGAGAGAATTGTGAAAGTAAACATGTAGAATAGAAATAATGCTATAGAATAATGCATAATTATATTATTTTAGGATTTCGTGTGATTATAAAGAGAGAATTGTGAAAGTAAACATGTAGAATAGAAATAATGCTATAGAATAATGCATAATTATATTATTTTAGGATTTCGTGTGATTATAAAGAGAGAATTGTGAAAGTAAACATGTAGAATAGAAATAATGCTATAGAATAATGCATAATTATATTATTTTAGGATTTCGTGTGATTATAAAGAGAGAATTGTGAAAGTAAACATGTAGAATAGAAATAATGCTATAGAATAATGCATAATTATATTATTTTAGGATTTCGTGTGATTATAAAGAGAGAATTGTGAAAGTAAACATGTAGAATAGAAATAATGCTATAGAATAATGCATAATTATATTATTTTAGGATTTCGTGTGATTATAAAGAGAGAATTGTGAAAGTAAACATGTAGAATAGAAATAATGCTATAGAATAATGCATAATTATATTATTTTAGGATTTCGTGTGATTATAAAGAGAGAATTGTGAAAGTAAACATGTAGAATAGAAATAATGCTATAGAATAATGCATAATTATATTATTTTAGGATTTCGTGTGATTATAAAGAGAGAATTGTGAAAGTAAACATGTAGAATAGAAATAATGCTATAGAATAATGCATAATTATATTATTTTAGGATTTCGTGTGATTATAAAGAGAGAATTGTGAAAGTAAACATGTAGAATAGAAATAATGCTATAGAATAATGCATAATTATATTATTTTAGGATTTCGTGTGATTATAAAGAGAGAATTGTGAAAGTAAACATGTATATATGTCATTTTCGAAATTAAAATTCTTCCTTCTCTCAGAAAATCTGAATTTTTCATTTATTTTCAAATTTAATAGTCATAAAAATCCCATCATACCTAATTTCTTTATAGGAATAAAGAAAATAAAAATCTGAATAGATAATGCAATATTACCCTCGACTTCGACCAACAATCGCAAAAAAGATTGTCATGCTTTTTATTTAAATATTAATTTAATTCAATTCCCAATAAAAGGTACATACATATGTATAACAATCAGTCCCTCTATATTTTATTAATTACATTTTCTTATCTAAACATTTGTAGTTTATTTCCAGATTGTTGATAAAGATGGAATGCAACAAGAAATGAACAAAAAAAGCAAAAAACTGTGTAGAATGTTCAAGCATTTTATTTTAATTTTTAAAGGATTCCCTTCTTCTCTTTTTAAAGTTTATGTATATTAAATATTTATTGAAATAATTAATTAATTATTTTAAAAAATTGAAATGACAATCAAAAGAATTTTTACTAAAAGTGATAGTCAAGAATCTATAGAAAATTCCAAAAATTATATTATTTGTAAGCCTTTAAGTGATGAAAAAGGAGGAGAAATGGTAATTTATTTTTAATTTGCTTGGTAATAGTTTGGAAGTCGCCCCTACCTATTTTCTTTTCTTTTTTTTCCTAGTTTTTCCTCATCTTATGGCAAATTAGATATCATGCAAAAGAGCCCTTCGAGCTGAGTCGAATAAAATTAAAATTAACGAAAACTGACTTTAGTGAACAAAGTTGTAGCCGTTTATTTTATTCCCTTGCATTAGCACAAAAAGTTTACCCATCTATGATTTAGCATAATAATTTTTGGTAAGAATCATTAGATCTAGCAAATCGTGGTATCATTCGATCAAGCTTGAAGAGCTCTTTCGAATGATATATAATAATTTATATATCAAACAAAAAACCTCAAAATGGGCAGGGAAAAGGGGGGGGCGACTTCCAAACTATTACATACCATTTAATCTAAATTAAATTTATGTATTTTTTAAGGTTTTTGAATTAAAAAATCTATTAAATACATCAATTTCTATTCAAAAAAGTTTTACAGAATTACAACAATTTTTTGAACGTTTCAAATCAATTTTACCTTCAAATTTAGACAAAACTCCACCAAAAAGAAAATTTCTTGTTTCAGAACAAAAAATAATTGAAAAAAGAAAAAATTGGGTTGAAGCTATAATTAATTATTTGATTAATAAATATTTTAAAAAGTAAATAAATAAATTTATTTGAATAAAAAATGAATTATTTTTAGTTCAGATATTCAATTATTTTTTGGCCAATTAATTAATTTATTTGATGAAAATTATATTTATTTGGGAAATTCTGAAAAGAGAAGGTTTTTAAAAATTAAAAAATATTTTTTAAATTAATTTTTAAAGTATAAAACCAAGTCATTTTGATTATTTAAAAACAATTGGGCAAGGAAGTTTTGGGCGTGTTTATATGGTTAGACATAATTTAGATGGAAAAATATATGCAATGAAAGTTTTAGTTAAAGTAAGATAATATTTTAACTAAAAATTAATAAAATCCAATATCACTCATGAGATAACCTCTTTAAGGCTAAAGAGCGTTACTTCATCCTGTGGGATACCTTAGATTGAGATGTTGCTTAAGCAGCTCCGCCACTCTGTGACCAATAAATTAAAAAAACATTTTAAATGGAGGTGTGTCAGGAGAGTGCCAGTTTTGCCTTTCGTATTTTTGCCTTCTGTCCTTCGCTTTTTAAAATCACCTCGGCACACCCCGGGTGTGTACACTCCCTCGGCACACCCCGGGAGTTGTGCCAGTTTCGTATTTTTAAGGCAACCAACGCCTTCACTTTCTTTTTAAAATATGTTTCGCACTTCCCTAATGATATGGGGTTATCTAAGAAGAGGCCTGACTATTCTAATAAAAATAAATAATATTTTAATTAGGAACAAATAAAACGTCGTAATGAAGTTAAGCATGTTATGGCAGAGAAGAATGTTCTTTTAAAAAATATAAATCATCCATTTTTGGTTTCTCTACATTATAGTTTTCAAACAAAAAATAAATTGTATTTTGTTTTGGATTTTTTAAATGGAGGAGAGGTATTTATTTATTTAAAAATATTTTAATTAAAAATATATTTTTAAATTAAAGTTATTTTTCCATTTACAAAAAGAACGTTCATTTTGTGAATCTAAAGCAAGATTTTATTCAGCAGAAATAGCTAGTGCTATTGGATATTTACATGAACAAAATATTATTTATCGAGATTTAAAACCAGAAAATATATTATTAGACCGTTATGGACATGTTGTTTTGACTGATTTTGGTTTGTGCAAAGAAGGAATTAAATCGAAAGATACAACAAATACTTTTTGTGGAACACCTGAATATTTAGGTAAAATAAAATGTCGAATTTCGTTCTTGAATACAGTCGCAGTCGCTATTAAGCTATTCCACGCGGTTGAATTAAGAGCTTTGTCGCATAGAGAAAAGCAAATACCCCTAAAAGTTGATAAATATTTTTTTTTAATTTGGTTGGCCATTATGTGGGAGAAGGATGGGTGTGGACCATATTATTTAATGTATCCCTCATTATAAGGTACGATTTCAGCCCCAAGGGGTTAGTGAGGTTTAGCTTTATAGAATAAAAATCCTCATTCATTTTCCAAATTCTTATAGCACCAGAAGTTATTGAGAAAAAACCTTATGATCGTACAGTAGACTGGTGGTGTTTGGGCTGTGTATTATTCGAAATGTTATTTGGTTTACCTCCATTTTACAGCAAAAACCAACAAGAAATGTATCAAAAAATAATTAATCAACAATTAATTATACCTTCAAATATTTCTTTATCTGCTAGAAATTTTCTACAAAGAATTCTCCGAAAAAATCGTTTTGAACGACTTGGAGCTAGAAATTTTGATGTTTAATTAAATTAATTTTTAATTTAAAAATAATTTTTTAAAGGAAATTTGTTTTCATCCTTTTTTTGCTTTAATTGACTGGGAAAAATTAAATAGAAGAGAAATTAGAGTTCCGTTTATTCCTAAAATACGGAGTGAAACTGATACAATAAATATTTCAAGAACATTTACTGATATTGAGCCAAATCCAGGTTGGGAAAAAGTTTATAAAAATTAGTTTTAATATTAGGTAATCTAATTTGGGGTTATTAATTATTTTTAAGAAAATTATTTTATTAATTATTATCTTTTACTAAAACTATTAAAAATAAGGTCCAACAAAGCAACTTGTAAAAAATGATAAAATTAACTGGTATGGTTATCGTTAAATTGTTTTAATGTTAATTTTATATACATAATAATCTGATTTAAAAACCGAACTGGGAGAGTTTTATGAGAATAATACGAGATATCTAGAAAAATCTTGATTCCAATAATCGAAATTTTTGCTCGAAAACTAGTCTCGATCTCCCTCTAGTTTAGTTATTTTAAAATGATTTTCTCAAAAATAGATAAGAATTCAAATTAATATTGAAAAATTAATTTTGTTTTATTTTTCTAGCTTCCTTAATTACCTCGCAAACTTTTGTTGATTTGGAAAATGATTTCCTTGGCTTTACATATAATCAAAAACATAATTTATTTTTTGAATAATTTAAATATTTATTTATTTGTTAATTAATTAATAAAAAATATTTATTTATTTTTAACACTATTTCTTTTTTAATCTTTTTATTTCCTCCAATTAATTTAGAGTTGTACCCCGACCCCGTACCCCGAACCCCGTTCCCGAACGATTTTTTCACGATTCTCCCCGACCCGAACCCCGCACCGAAAAAAAGTGAAAACCCCGTTCCCCGGCCCAAAAAGTTTCGGGGTTACGGGGTTTTATACCCCTAAAAAATGTCATTTTTTGGAGAAATTAATGAAGAAAATTTAAAAAATTTCCACACATTTTACTTTGCTTTTATTATTTTTGAAAGAAAAATGAATGAAATATCATAATTTTCTTTCATTCTTTATTAAGAGACTTGTGGTTGAGTGGCTTAGTCATTGGTTTTAGCCGATATTTTATTAATATAGGATTGGGTTCGGATCCATATAAGGATAACTCTGTTGTTTTTATATTTTTTCACAAAAACAAATTATTAACGAGTTAAATTTTAATTTGAAAATATTAATTTTATTTTTAACTGATATCCCTTGAACCACCCTTAATCCTTCAAACCCTCTGTATCACCAGTTCTCAACCATAACAGTTGGTAAACTATCGAGGTCATGTTAACGGGAATCAGAGATATAAAGGGATTTGTAGGATATCGAAGAATTAAGGAGTTATAAAGTGATTTAAAGGGATATAAGGTTTAGATTAAAATGGATTTGAAAGGATTACGTGAATTTAACGGAATTAACAAGGATTTCGTGGGAGATTTAAGGAATAATCGAAGATATCTCCTGATATCCGTCCAAATACCCTTATCCGCAATACATCAATATTCTTATAAATCACTAATATCCCTTGAACCAACAGAAATCACTCCAGATCACCTTGTATCCCTAGATATACCATTTAATCCCTAAAAATCCCACTTAATCCCTCCAGATCCACTTATATCCCAAGTTATACGCTTTAATCCCTTCAAATCCCCTCTAATTTCTTCAAAACCTACTTAATTTTTGAATAAATCAACGAAAATATATCGATTTCTAAATATTTTTGAGCATTTTTTTCTCTAAAAATTTTTCCACTAAACCCCCGTACCCCGACCCGAACCCCGGCCATATTTTGCTCCCCCGACCCGAACCCCGCCCCGAAACAATTGGAAAACCCCGTACCCCGACATACCCGCCCCCGAACGTTCGGGGTACAACCCTAAATTAATTAAATAATATTTTTAGGAATTTTTGTTGTCCATTGAGTAGCAAATTCAGTAAAATTCCAATTAATTGGCTGCCCAAAATGTGTTGTATTTATTTTTGTAGTGGCCCAGCTTTTTTAGAAAAAAATATTTTTTTTAATTTTTAATATTAAAAAACACCTAAAATAAGGCAAATTTCCAGGCCCACCATATGTCGGCCCTCCAACTACCTAAAAATTAATTTTTAAATTTAATTTTATTTCCCTCCAAAAACCTCAAAACGTAATTGTTTAAATAATTCAAAATTAGTTCCTTTATAGTCAATAGAACCGTGATTTCTAAAACCCATTCCAGGCACTTCCCATTTTCCATCAGGTGTATTGAGATCTCCTCTAGTTGAAATACTTGCCTTTAAATTGAAAGATAGGTCTTTTATAAAAATAATTAAATCGAAAATTAATTACTTCAGCTGAATATGGTGGTGTACATTTGCAACGAGAATATTCATCATGTTGGTAATTGTTATAACTAAAATAATATAAGTAAATTAAGGTAGACCTCGATTTACGTGGAATCTCAATTTAAGGCAGGATTTTTTTAGAATCTGGTTGGCTGGATCAGCAATGAGCTATCTAAGCAGAGCTGTTTACGGTACCCATCCAAAAACACTCAAAGATAAAATTTCCGAAACAGCTCTGTATCTAAACAATGCCCCCCCTATTTAATAAAAATCTCATTATATGATACTAATTTTCAGTCAAAAATCGAGGTTCTACATTAATATTTAAAATTTTAATTAATTCTAAATTTTAATAAAATAAATTTAAAAAGTTATTCTTACCGCATTAATTCTCTCAATGTTTTCAAATCTTTAACTTTCTTATGATCTCTATGAAATATTTTAGCTCTAGGTGTAAATCCCCATCTCCACCAATTATTTATCTGCCCTTTAGCACTAAATCCACTCAATTCAGATATTTTAGATAAAAAAGGAATATTATAAGAAGGCCAATAACCATAACTTTTAATAAACCAAGTAACGTCTCTACTAACTACAAGGCCTCTTTAAAAACAAAAATAAATTAAATGAGTTAATTTTGGTGGAAAGAACTAACGGAATTTGTTCTAAAATCCAAATTAAATCTGTTTGGGGCAATTCTTGTTTTGGTTTAAATAATTTATAGTCAAGAACCTTTAATTTAAAAAAATATTTTTTTAATTAAATATAGACTTACAGTCCATTGATTGTTATACGTGCCAGAATTATAGCTAAAATAAATAAAGTAAAACCTCATTTTTAGATAAACCCTTAAAGCTGGAAATTATCCTATGATCAGTGGATATTATTTATTATAATAGTAACTAGAATAGCACGCGACCCTTTAGTGTTGGGGGTGTTGGAGATAGCGGTTGCCGGGATACAGCCTACGGTGTTAAAGTCTGGGGGTTTGTCAAAAGATCGTATTGGGCGAGGGTTTCAGGGATCGGAGGGGTAATTTGATAATAACTTTAACTAGGAGCGGTGGATTGGTTAGAGATTAAAGGGTAGGGTACACCTTAGAAATTAAAGGGTACAATCTATAATTTTGGGGTTTCCAAAATGAGGTTTAACTGTATTTTGAAATAAATATTAAAATTTAATAAAAAAAGTATTTAAAATTATTTTTCTCTCATTTACCGTCCAAACAATTGTACCCAATCCCGAGCAGTTTTAGATAAGCGATTAGCAAGATATGAACGTAACCAACAATGTAAATGTTTGTTTTCTTTTACTTTCTCATATAAAGGTTCATTAAAAACAGCAATTGTTGTTTCAATTGAAAGCTTTTTTTATTTTTAAATTTAAAAAATAAAATGAAGCTACTAACCAATCCAGCACTAGTTAAAGTATAATCATCGGCAGAGGATAAAGCAGCTGGATAACCAGAAAAGGTAACAATATTACCAGGGGATTTTTTAGTATCTTTAAATTAAAGTTAATTTAAAAGATGAGTAAAGGAACCAAAAGCAAATTTGTAAAGTTTTAATATTCTATTCATTGTATTATATCCAGCCATTGATACATGAGACATTAATCTTAAATTAATTATTTTTAAATTAGTCCTCTAGATGCATACATATTACTAATTTTAAGTTTTTTAAATCTAAGATAATTTAAATAAAGTTTGTGAACACACAATGGGAAGGTGCCAGTTTTAGTTTTTATTCTGTACAGAGGTTATAACAATTCACAGAAAAATTTTAATGCTCTTTAAAATTTCCGTCTTGGAAAAGAGATATGAGTTGTGGGCAGAAATATATTTCTTAAATTGTATTTTGGTCGCGTATTTACCAGAGTTTCACCGACAGAAAACCAAATTCCCGATTTTTGTGAAACGTGTCGGCGCGAGTATTTTTTTATAAATTTTTTTTTCTAAATCCTACATATTTTTCTAGTATGTATTTATAAATTAGATTTTTTGTACTTAAACTTAACATTTTCCAAATATCAGCCCTGGCATATGATACTTTTTTAAAATTATTTAATTACATACAAATCTTCATTTCCTTCTGTTATTTTAATAAATCCAGAACAATGACTTGGTTCATTTTCCAAATTTGGATTCTTTTTAAAAACGTGTTCCAAATCATAAAAATCACCAGACATTTGAATTAAAAGAATTGAATTATTTTTAAATTCAACACGCGGATAATAATCACCAGAAATATTGATATCTTCATAACCTTTATTTAAAATAAATTAACATTGAATAAGTAATAATAATTATTTTCCAAAACAAGATTCCATTGTGTTTGTTCGTTAACTATTTAAAAGGGGTTCTAAATAGAAGGGACCTAAAGGACCCTAAAAAACCCCTATCTCAGAAGGGGTAAGACCATAACTCAAAATTCCGATAATCTAACTTTCCGAACTCTAAAAATCCAAAATTTTATATTTATTTTGAGAAGGGGGGGGGTATTTTAGAGAATATTTGGTCTTAATAATATTTTTAATTTTAAATTTTAAATATTTCCAACCATCATTAATTCCAGTTAATTGTGTAAAAGTCTAAAAATATTTAATTAAAGAATATTTATTTATACTAATTTTCTAACCAACTCAACATGACGCCAATAAATATCATTTTTAGCTAATGAATTAACCTGTATATTTTTAAATTAAAGTTTAAACAAATTATAAATTTAAACTTTCGATTTAATCCATTTAAGATTTGTTTTAATATAATTATGCAATTGGTCACAATATCCTGCACTTGCATTATTACATATTTGGCTAGCAGTATTTAAATAATGAAGATGAATTTGATTTTTTGTTAAAAGACCTTTAATATTTTAATAAAAATTTTTTAATTTTTAAGGGTTTCTAACAGGGATGGGACAGGTTGAGAAAAAAGTCGGGTCGGATTTCGGGTCGGATTTTCAAAATTTTCTCGGATTGGGTTTCGGGTCGATCTCCATAAAAATTTTCGGAATGAAATATTCAATGAATAAGGTGTTGAAATATAAATGTATATTTGATTTTTGGAGACTAATCTTGAGTGATAAATTGAAAGAAAAATTCAGTAAAAATGTCAAAGAAATTTAATTTATAATTTTTTATTCCTAAACTCAAACAAACACATTTTTGCTTAATAAAATATTTTTCTTTAAAAGTTTATTGAATAACACGGACCGATCCGGCCTTTTACGAGAAAGAATATGAATGAATAATAATATTTTTGAATGCTAGTTTACTAACTAGCAAAATTTTACCTTCTGCAAGTCCAGCGGCATATGACTGAATTTCTTCAGAAAAATCAGCAAATGTCTCAATTTCCAAAATTCCCCAACTATTTAATTTAATTTAAAAACAAATTCAAATTAAACCCTACCCAGTCTCATTTTGCCCATTTCTATAATTTCCAACAGCAACTGCTTTTTGACCTTTCTTACATTTTGTAATATCCCCTCCATCTATTTTGTAGACTATATTTGGGGATTTTACATCAGCACAAATTGTTATACTTTTATTGAAAAACCCTTTCGGCCATGGGTCATCCAAACTTAGTAGTTTTTCAACAGAGTTATAATATTTATTAGAACTATAAATAAATATTTTACTTTATTGGGTCCGATCTCCCTTATAAATACACTCAATACACTCAATAACAAACGCGCCTTAATTTTAAATAAGATCTTAAAATTTTGTTTGGTTTATAGATGGGGAGGGGTACAGCCCAAAAGGGCGCACGAGGCCATTACTGCGCAGAGCCATAACTTACTGTAAAATCCTCGATGAGAGGAATCATTTAATAATAAATTTGGTGAGATTTGGAAATCGTGAGCAAGTTATGGCTTTGCGCAGTTATGGCCGAGAGCCTTTTTGAGCGTGACCCGATGAGAGAAATACCTAAGAAATACCCCTTAGTATTTATAATTAAATTTTATTCGGTCTGAGCTTGCATTTAAAATCGAGATTTAACTGTATTACTTAATTACTAAAAATTATTTACTTTTTATTTTCTGGCTTTTGACTATTCAGTAAGTTATCCCAAAAATTATCCTCTTCTAATTTATTTGAAATAAATTCATCATCATATTTTAAGGTTGCATAAATCCAAGTAAAATAAAATAAAAAAATTAAATTAAACAAAAGTTTAGAGGAAGTACTCATTATTGGCTTTAATTAAACATTAAGTAAATCTAAATCAAAAATTTAAAATCAATTTAAATCAAAACAATATTTTTGAGAGAAAAGAGTCCTATTATAATTTATTATTTAATAGATATTATTTTAACTATCAAGCTTCCCTAAGGTTGTGGAAATCTCAAAATTTATTTGTGAGAATTTGGTGCTGGTCTAGTCCATTGAATTTTTATGCGTCCAATCAAAAAAATTGGATTCTCTTGGTGTTGCAAAGTTGGGGGTATGGTTCCAAAACATTTCTTTATGTTCGGGACCTACATCCACGGAGTCTGGGACCATGCTTTACACTATCCCTTCTCTGAGAATTCCAGCGCCGAGAAGTTTTCAAAATGTTCTTTTCAAAAAATTTATTTTAAATATTCATTTCTTAATTTATTTATATTAAATATAAAAATAATGAAAGTGAACATTAATATCGAGAAAACATAAATAAATTAATTTGTCTATAACTCTTATCAATAAAAATAAAATTAAAAAAAGAACAAAAATATAAACAGTATTTTTAAAGCCTATAAGTATTTTATTTATTTAATTTCTTCCTTCTTATCTCTAAAATCAAATCGAATTGAATGCTTATTGTAAGCAATATACTACAAACATTTTTATTGTATAGATAAAACTAGCTGTGGGTTTGACCACTGATGGCGGCGGATAGCTGGGTGCCTATTAGGATACTTTGGATTGAAATTTTATTCTGGCCGTGGGCCTATGGATTGAAATTTTATTCTGGCCGTGGCCTATGGAGCGTCAGCGAGGCGCTTGTGCAAAACCCCGCGCTTCGCGCGGGGTTTTGCGGCACGCGCCTCGCAGGGAGTCTAAGGTCGCTGGGTTCTGGGCTCGTAACATTATCCTATTCCTATCAACGATGAGGTGGGCATGCCGGCTTCCTCCGCAGAAGCAAAAACCTGCACGGAGGCCATAGGTAAGGAGCTAAAACAAACACGGCATTACTTTGTCAAATCATGTCGGAGTTCGTTAATTTTTATTTCATTCGACTCAGTTCGACGAGCTCTTTCGAATGAGATAACATTTGTTTATTCGAATTTTTTATCCATAATTTGCCCCTGCATTTCTTTTATTTTTATAGACCTTTGTCTCGGTTCGATCAAATCAGATTTAGTTGATCTTAGTGTCATTCGACTCAGCATGAGCAGCTTTTCGAATGAGCTAACAATCAAAAAATCGAATTTTTTACCCCAAAATTGAGCTTACTCTACCCTATGTTTTTCGATCTACTGGACCTATTTCTCGGTCAACGGGGATTTCCTGTAAAAATGAGTGGTACTTTTTGACTCAGCTCGACCGAAGATAAATCAAATGGTATAGATCTTGTATTGACTTTTACACCGGTATACCGGTGTACCTTTCCACCGGTATATTATACTACAGCCAAAATTATAGAAAGGAACTAAATTTTAAAAATAATTCTTAGAAAATAGAAACAATAAAAAAAATTTAGAGGTTCATTTTTTTTTAAAAGTAAACTGGATGGTAAAAATTCAATAACTAAAAAAATTACTAATAAAATAATGTGTAGTTTTTTTGAAAAAATATTTTGGAAGGCAAAAAAGGATTAGGGTAGAAGTAAAGTTTTAAAGTAACAAATGATAGGAAAAACAAAACTGCAAAAATAAGAACAAAGAAATTTGTTGAGGGAATAATTTAACAGAGGTTAAATAAAATGAATGAATTACGTAATCATGGACAACAAATTTACGAACCATGCCAAAACACTAAACATACACAATAAGGTCTTACCAAATCACGGAATGGCCAAATCATGGAACTATCAAAACAGGTCAAACAAAGAAATCGTAATTTGATAGGTACAGAAAAAATGTTTGGTTCGACGTAAAAACTAAAAAACAATTAGAAAAAGATTTTTCTTTTTTTTCCTAATCTTTTTTACGGCTTCTTGGACTTCCAAATTTGAATGCCAAATATAAAAAATGCTAAAGAAATTGAGGGTAAAAGAAAAGGATAAATTTTTAGGTGAAAACATTTAAAAATATACAAATATTACTAAAAAGGATTAAAAAAGAAAATTGTGCCGGGAGAAAATCAAATAAAGAGCAAAAAATAAGAAAAGATTCAAATTTTTCTTCCCTTAACTTTTTTTCGCTTTTTTCTTCCCTCAAACTTTGCTTCAAGTTTGAGGGAAGATTCGATATTTTGGGTAATTCGTCATTTTGGGTGTCGATATTTTGGGTCATTCGATATTTTTGGTGCAATATTTAGGGTGTCGATATTCTGGGGTGATCCCTTTCACCCATCAATCAAAATTTCTCTCTCACCTATAAGATATGCCCTCAGGATTTCGTCATTTCCGAAAAATCGGAGATTTTACCGAAAGACCAATTTTGTGTCAGGCATATCGACCTTTAGACTTGACATTTCGACCTCGGGTTTTCTGGTTTCATCATCTCCAAATCAAGCTTCAACGCCCTCCCGGCGGAACTTTTTCTCTATCTTTATCCGTTCCGGAGATATCCTCGGTACCGACACGATTTAGGTACAAAGGAATAGAGGTACCCCAAAAGTCATAATTTTCCTTTATACTACATAAAATTTGACCCCGGACATGTCAAACTTTCAAGCCCGTATCTAAACTCTGGAAAGAGCTAGACTTTTTTCTAGCCAAGCAACTTTTTTTATAAATATATAGTAATAATAGATATAATCTCCTGTAAAAATAAAATTGAAAAAATTAAATTTAAATTACAAAAGAATTTATTTTCTAATTTAGTATTTAAATTTAAAAAAAATTATTTTTTATTTAACGTAAATGCTCTAATAGAAGCACATGTTCTTGTATTTTTTGATCCTCTCGTAGGGTGTACTTCTATTGGATACTAGCTTCAAATTTGAGACTGCTTCTATTTTCGATCTATTTCCGATCCTCACGTAGGGTGTGCTTCTATTAGAATGTGTTTTAATTATAGCATTTACGGTAATTAATTTTTTTATTTTATCAATAAATTTATTTAAAAAAATCTTTTTTAAACAATTTCCGGTAAATATTTTTTTTCAAAAATTAAAATAAAACTTTAATTGAGTCAAAAAAATAATTATATAAAATAAAACTTTATGGAATTTTTTAGTTGATTAAAAGAAAAAAAGAAGAAATTGGGGGAATTGAAGCGAGAATTTCGAACATGTACTAAAATATATGGATGTTAATTTAATATTATTTTTAAAAATGCCTTTCTGTTTTTTAAATAAATTTTTTAAATTTTTCTTCAGAAAATTTAGAAAATAATAAATTTAGAAAATTAATTCGAAATATTTTTTAAATAATTTATTTTATCAAAAATGAACACAGAAATTTTTGTAGAATTTTTTAACTATTTCCTAAAGGAAAATTAAAAATTTTTAGGCGGAGATACAATTTCTTAACACCAATCTTTGAGAAATCGAGCTAGTGAAATATTTTCTGAAATTATTTGGGCATAGTGTCCACTAGCGTCTATAAATCTTCTATAATAATTTCAGATTAATTGGACAACCGGAACCCTGAAAAACATGAAAAAATTAAGCGGAGTTTATAATTTCTTAACACACCATAATTATAAAGTAAAAAACTTTTTCTGAAGATAAAATTAGAGAGCAAGCTGGATTTGGATCCAGACCTTGATTTTTTCTTGATCCAGAGTCCAGATCAAGGTTTTCCAGCGTTCCTTGATTTTTCCTTGACTCAAGGTCAAGAATCTGGTCTAGGTACCCAAACGAAATCAGGGTTAAGGGTTTTTGAAAATCTCGCTCTGTAAATAAAATATTTTTAAATAAATCTATAATTATTACAATATTCATATGTAAATAAATTTTTATTTTATTTAAAATTCCCACAAATTCCATCAAAAAACTTTTTATTTTAATATTTTTTTCTCATCAATTTAAGTGTTTCTTTACTACCCTCCAACAAAAAATATAATATAATATTTTTCCCTATTAAGCGGAAAAATTCAATTTAAATTTAATTTTAGCAATAGCTAAACCTCCTTTTTTCGTTTATTGCTCATTCTTTTTCCTATTTAAATTTATTACTTGTCATCCTTAGAAAAAAGGATCTATTTCTGTCCTTTTTAAGAATTAATGCTTGAATAAATTTATTTGATATAAAATATTAATAAATTTTTTATTAAAAGGAATTCTTTTTTATTTTTGATTAACTACGTCCTACATATTTAATAATAAATACAAGAAAATTTTTTATATTTTGTCTATTTTATTGCTTGTAAAAAATTTTTTTGAGCGCCTCCGTTAATTAATCGAATTTATAATATATCCGCAATCGTGATTGAATTGGTGGAAAAAAATTCAATTCACTATTGAGATTGACTAGACCTGGACGCAATTTAAAAAAAATTTCAGCAGTCCGTAAGTCAAAAAACCACGCAATTCAACGCAATCCTCAATTGTGTCCAGCTCTCGTCGGAGCTCTGACGTTCACTACTTCTGACTCCTTCAGCATTTCTGACTCACCTTTGGATCGAATAGAGCCAAGATAAAAAATATCAAGATATGTCTGTAATATTCTTTTAAATGAAATTGCCTTTATTTATTTAAATTAGGTATTTAAGATCCATCTTATTTTAACTATTTTTTAACAAATAATTAAAAATTTGTTAATTATTGAAAAAAATTTTTCAATCAAAAATGAGTGGATATTTGCAACAACAAAATCAAAATAACACCCAACAACCCAAATCTTGTGAAAGAATTGTTCAAGGAGTAGCTAAACTAAGTACATTTAAAATCCCCTCCACCCATTTAAAAAGGTTTTTTTTAAAATATTTTTAAATTAAAATATTAAAGATGCTCGGAGGGAGCACTTCCTTTAAATGAACAAACAATAATTGGTGGGAGTGGGGGTCAACCAAAAATTTTGGTTAATGGAAATATTAATGGAAAAGTTGTTACAAAAGAGAATAATGAAGGTAAAAAAATTTTTATTTCTCTAAAAATTAAGCTAAAAAATGCCAAAGTTTTTCTTTAGCCTCGAAATATTTAGAATTATTCTATAGAAAAATAATTAAAAATATTAAATATAAATAAATAAAAAAGAATTTTATTTCCTACATAAAATTTTATATTTTTTTTTGTCTTTTGTCAATTTAATTTATTAGAAAAAATTAACCAGAAGGTAACAGTTGTCTAGTAGTTAGTAATTTATTTTGTGATTTTTAAGATCAAAAATTATATTCTCATTTAAATTGTAATTAAATATTTTTTAGAATTTAGAATAAAACTTTAAAGCTAATTTATAAAAATTATTTTATTAAAAATTAGCATTAGACACAAACGGCCAACCTAACTGCTAAAATTAAAGTTGAAAGTTTTGAAAATGCCGGATCTGGTTTCAGGATTGTTAAATTTTTTTCTCGAATCCGGAAAATCCGGGTTTTCAAAATAGCCGGATTTCACTACCAGATCCGTAATTCCTGGCCGGATCCGGTCCGGGTTTCAACTCTAACTAAAATCAAGGACACCTGTAAATCGACAGACAAAACCGATTTCATCAAAGAAAATAAATTTTAATAAGCAAATTTCCTTAAGTTAAAGGTGCCATTTAATTAGAAATCGGGATTTAATCAAAAATTAAAGGAAAACTTGGCCCCAAAAATATGCCTTTCCAAAAAACCAAACTGATTAACACCCCTTTATATCCACTTCTAATTGCTAAATATTAATTTTTAGTAGATAATTGGCCTTCAATTAATTTATCTCCCTCAACTAATTGTTTACGTGTTAGTTCAAGTGGTGTTGATATAAGTAATTCCAGTAGTGGATTTAACGAAAATTGTGGTGGAAAACGTTTATATTCACTTGATTCTTCAACTTCAAATAATAATATGTCTGGGGGACGTTCAGAATTAAATAATTTAAAAAATCAACAACAATTTTTAAGTAAAATTTTTTTTTAATTTTAAAATTAAAATTCTGTCGAACCTCACTATAAGAGGTTCGACAGAGGTCGAGGCTTTCGCCCATTTTCTAGTCATGACCTCAGATCGACCCGGCCTATCTCCGAACCTCGCTCAAGGGTCCAAATGTGTCCCGCTGCTTGAGGCCTTCACCAATTTTCTAATCTTGACCACAGATCGACTTGGCCTCATAACCTCGGTCAAGGGTCCAAATTTGCCTCTACGCTACTTTAAGATACACCAAATACTAGGCAGACATAACTTTAAGATATTGACCTCGGTAAGGCTTAGCTTTGATTGGCCAGTTGTTAAATCTATATCATAGGTTATTTAAGAGTTGTCCAGCCCCAACGGTGTATTTAATATTGAACTTGATTAATTTTTTTCAATAGTAAAATAATATTTTTAATTTTAAAGTTTCTGACACAACAGAACTTAGACTTAAAAGAGACAGAAAATGGTGGAACAGAACCGCAGCTTCTTATTGTTTTCTCTTTATTTCCATTATTTTAAGCTTATCTGTGGTAATTTTAAATTATTTAAATTTAAAAATTCTTGTTTTTAAAGGTAATTGGTGTTTGTTTATTTTTACATTCATTTATTCCAAAAGATTATTATAACAAAAATATTATTAAAATTAATGAAAATAAAACAATAAATTCAACAAATAATTCTTCAAATAATGAAATAAAATTGTTAAAGGTTTAAAATTTAATTTTTTTTTAATTTTTAAAAATTAAATTTAGACTTTTGTTGAATCAATTTTAATATTATAAAAAAGAAAAAGATGAAAGTAAATAAATATTTTAATTTAATATTCTTCAATCATAGAGATCGAGCTGGGTCTTGACCAAGGCCTTGGTTTTTTCCTGGACCCAGAGTCCAGGCCCAGGCATTTTTTGACCTTCCTGGATTTTTTCTGGACTACAGACCTAAGATTTAGCCCAGGTCAATAAATCAAACTCCAGTGTCCAAGAACAGGCCCAGACTTTTCAAAAATCTCGATCTCTATTCAATCATTTATTTGTGTATGAAAGCTTTCTTCACGAATTTTACAAAAATTTCTTCCCAATTTTTAGTACATAAATTCCCTTCCCGGTTCAAAAAAAAGTAAACTATGTAGTCATTCTTATATTAATTTTAATGAAAAGGGTTTCCGGGAAGGAATTTTACGTTATTTTTTTATCAAACGAAACTGTAAATATTTATTGTATTTTTTTAGAATTAAAATATTTTTTTATTAATTTAACTGGCAATGTTGAGATCATCAAATTTAAAATAATTTTTCTGTTAATTTAAAAACTCTTTTTTGCCCCAATTTCAATCAAAGCTGAAGATAATGAATTTTTATTTCCAAAAATATCAGCTTCAGTTGATCTTCTTTCCCTTACATTATTATTTTTTAATCTAAAATAAATAAATATTTTTAAAATATTTATTTTTTAAATACCTTCTTCTACCCAAAAGTGAATTTATTCCAAGTATTCCTTTTGTCTGTTTATTAATTAAAGTATTACTGTACTTAGGGGGAACATTTAATGTTGTTCTATAAGTTGTTGTTTGGTGGTGAGGGAAAATAATTTGTTGTTTTTCTTCTTCCAAATGATTATTTATTTCATTTTGGAAGATAAATGGACGATAATTAAATTGTCTTGATGAAAATATACTTTAAAATGAAAAATTTTTTGGGGTAATTTTTATTTAAACAAAAAATATCGGGCCAGGGGGTTTCCACATATCCTTAAAAATGTAACATATTCTAAACAATTCATGAAAACTGGTTCACCTGGCAGCATTTAAATCGCTTAAGTGAATATTAAAAATCCTTACAAGGAGAAAAGGGGCAAGGGAAACCCTTGTGAGAGATGCCGTAGTTCTGATTGATACATAAACCAGTAGTAACTAATAAGGTCATGTCTTAATTATTCAATAAATTACATAAATATCTAGATTACCTAGACCTTTAGAAAATATTTCTGTAAAAAAATATTTAAATATTTACTTCCATAAATGTTTCACAATTCCAACAACAGCCAATTCACCTGCATGGTTAGCAATCATACGAAGAATAAATAACTTTAAAAAATAATTATTTAACTGGATATACTTAACAAAAACCCCATCAGATTTTAAAAAATCATCAACAAATTTATCAATTCCATGTTGATTTGGTACTCGAAAAGGGACAAAAGAATGTCCACCTCCCTCAATCAAATAATCTCCCTCTTCTTCAGCAATTCTTGTCCTTTGAGGAAAAGGGGTTGATTGAATATTTGGATTAATAAATTGACAAGAATTTTCGGCTATTTGCATAAAACGTAAAATATAATCAACTTTTGCTGCATGTAATAAAATATTTGTTAACCAAAATAATGTTGAACAGCTTTTAATTTAAAAATTATTGAAAACATAATTTAAAGTAGAGACGATCGAAAATCTCGGTTATTGAGATCGAGAATCTTTCGAGATCTCGATTCTTGTACGACGCTCCCAGTCCGGTCTCTAATTTAAAGTACTCGAATTTCTTTTTACATATGTATCTCTTTGAGGCTAAGGAATGGTTCCAAAAAGATTTAAAAATATTTTAATTAAAAATATATTTTTAAATTAAAGTTATTTTTCCATTTACAAAAAGAACGTTCATTTTGTGAATCTAAAGCAAGATTTTATTCAGCAGAAATAGCTAGTGCTATTGGATATTTACATGAACAAAATATTATTTATCGAGATTTAAAACCAGAAAATATATTATTAGACCGTTATGGACATGTTGTTTTGACTGATTTTGGTTTGTGCAAAGAAGGAATTAAATCGAAAGATACAACAAATACTTTTTGTGGAACACCTGAATATTTAGGTAAAATAAAATGTCGAATTTCGTTCTTGAATACAGTCGCAGTCGCTATTAAGCTATTCCACGCGGTTGAATTAAGAGCTTTGTCGCATAGAGAAAAGCAAATACCCCTAAAAGTTGATAAATATTTTTTTTTAATTTGGTTGGCCATTATGTGGGAGAAGGATGGGTGTGGACCATATTATTTAATGTATCCCTCATTATAAGGTACGATTTCAGCCCCAAGGGGTTAGTGAGGTTTAGCTTTATAGAATAAAAATCCTCATTCATTTTCCAAATTCTTATAGCACCAGAAGTTATTGAGAAAAAACCTTATGATCGTACAGTAGACTGGTGGTGTTTGGGCTGTGTATTATTCGAAATGTTATTTGGTTTACCTCCATTTTACAGCAAAAACCAACAAGAAATGTATCAAAAAATAATTAATCAACAATTAATTATACCTTCAAATATTTCTTTATCTGCTAGAAATTTTCTACAAAGAATTCTCCGAAAAAATCGTTTTGAACGACTTGGAGCTAGAAATTTTGATGTTTAATTAAATTAATTTTTAATTTAAAAATAATTTTTTAAAGGAAATTTGTTTTCATCCTTTTTTTGCTTTAATTGACTGGGAAAAATTAAATAGAAGAGAAATTAGAGTTCCGTTTATTCCTAAAATACGGAGTGAAACTGATACAATAAATATTTCAAGAACATTTACTGATATTGAGCCAAATCCAGGTTGGGAAAAAGTTTATAAAAATTAGTTTTAATATTAGGTAATCTAATTTGGGGTTATTAATTATTTTTAAGAAAATTATTTTATTAATTATTATCTTTTACTAAAACTATTAAAAATAAGGTCCAACAAAGCAACTTGTAAAAAATGATAAAATTAACTGGTATGGTTATCGTTAAATTGTTTTAATGTTAATTTTATATACATAATAATCTGATTTAAAAACCGAACTGGGAGAGTTTTATGAGAATAATACGAGATATCTAGAAAAATCTTGATTCCAATAATCGAAATTTTTGCTCGAAAACTAGTCTCGATCTCCCTCTAGTTTAGTTATTTTAAAATGATTTTCTCAAAAATAGATAAGAATTCAAATTAATATTGAAAAATTAATTTTGTTTTATTTTTCTAGCTTCCTTAATTACCTCGCAAACTTTTGTTGATTTGGAAAATGATTTCCTTGGCTTTACATATAATCAAAAACATAATTTATTTTTTGAATAATTTAAATATTTATTTATTTGTTAATTAATTAATAAAAAATATTTATTTATTTTTAACACTATTTCTTTTTTAATCTTTTTATTTCCTCCAATTAATTTAGAGTTGTACCCCGACCCCGTACCCCGAACCCCGTTCCCGAACGATTTTTTCACGATTCTCCCCGACCCGAACCCCGCACCGAAAAAAAGTGAAAACCCCGTTCCCCGGCCCAAAAAGTTTCGGGGTTACGGGGTTTTATACCCCTAAAAAATGTCATTTTTTGGAGAAATTAATGAAGAAAATTTAAAAAATTTCCACACATTTTACTTTGCTTTTATTATTTTTGAAAGAAAAATGAATGAAATATCATAATTTTCTTTCATTCTTTATTAAGAGACTTGTGGTTGAGTGGCTTAGTCATTGGTTTTAGCCGATATTTTATTAATATAGGATTGGGTTCGGATCCATATAAGGATAACTCTGTTGTTTTTATATTTTTTCACAAAAACAAATTATTAACGAGTTAAATTTTAATTTGAAAATATTAATTTTATTTTTAACTGATATCCCTTGAACCACCCTTAATCCTTCAAACCCTCTGTATCACCAGTTCTCAACCATAACAGTTGGTAAACTATCGAGGTCATGTTAACGGGAATCAGAGATATAAAGGGATTTGTAGGATATCGAAGAATTAAGGAGTTATAAAGTGATTTAAAGGGATATAAGGTTTAGATTAAAATGGATTTGAAAGGATTACGTGAATTTAACGGAATTAACAAGGATTTCGTGGGAGATTTAAGGAATAATCGAAGATATCTCCTGATATCCGTCCAAATACCCTTATCCGCAATACATCAATATTCTTATAAATCACTAATATCCCTTGAACCAACAGAAATCACTCCAGATCACCTTGTATCCCTAGATATACCATTTAATCCCTAAAAATCCCACTTAATCCCTCCAGATCCACTTATATCCCAAGTTATACGCTTTAATCCCTTCAAATCCCCTCTAATTTCTTCAAAACCTACTTAATTTTTGAATAAATCAACGAAAATATATCGATTTCTAAATATTTTTGAGCATTTTTTTCTCTAAAAATTTTTCCACTAAACCCCCGTACCCCGACCCGAACCCCGGCCATATTTTGCTCCCCCGACCCGAACCCCGCCCCGAAACAATTGGAAAACCCCGTACCCCGACATACCCGCCCCCGAACGTTCGGGGTACAACCCTAAATTAATTAAATAATATTTTTAGGAATTTTTGTTGTCCATTGAGTAGCAAATTCAGTAAAATTCCAATTAATTGGCTGCCCAAAATGTGTTGTATTTATTTTTGTAGTGGCCCAGCTTTTTTAGAAAAAAATATTTTTTTTAATTTTTAATATTAAAAAACACCTAAAATAAGGCAAATTTCCAGGCCCACCATATGTCGGCCCTCCAACTACCTAAAAATTAATTTTTAAATTTAATTTTATTTCCCTCCAAAAACCTCAAAACGTAATTGTTTAAATAATTCAAAATTAGTTCCTTTATAGTCAATAGAACCGTGATTTCTAAAACCCATTCCAGGCACTTCCCATTTTCCATCAGGTGTATTGAGATCTCCTCTAGTTGAAATACTTGCCTTTAAATTGAAAGATAGGTCTTTTATAAAAATAATTAAATCGAAAATTAATTACTTCAGCTGAATATGGTGGTGTACATTTGCAACGAGAATATTCATCATGTTGGTAATTGTTATAACTAAAATAATATAAGTAAATTAAGGTAGACCTCGATTTACGTGGAATCTCAATTTAAGGCAGGATTTTTTTAGAATCTGGTTGGCTGGATCAGCAATGAGCTATCTAAGCAGAGCTGTTTACGGTACCCATCCAAAAACACTCAAAGATAAAATTTCCGAAACAGCTCTGTATCTAAACAATGCCCCCCCTATTTAATAAAAATCTCATTATATGATACTAATTTTCAGTCAAAAATCGAGGTTCTACATTAATATTTAAAATTTTAATTAATTCTAAATTTTAATAAAATAAATTTAAAAAGTTATTCTTACCGCATTAATTCTCTCAATGTTTTCAAATCTTTAACTTTCTTATGATCTCTATGAAATATTTTAGCTCTAGGTGTAAATCCCCATCTCCACCAATTATTTATCTGCCCTTTAGCACTAAATCCACTCAATTCAGATATTTTAGATAAAAAAGGAATATTATAAGAAGGCCAATAACCATAACTTTTAATAAACCAAGTAACGTCTCTACTAACTACAAGGCCTCTTTAAAAACAAAAATAAATTAAATGAGTTAATTTTGGTGGAAAGAACTAACGGAATTTGTTCTAAAATCCAAATTAAATCTGTTTGGGGCAATTCTTGTTTTGGTTTAAATAATTTATAGTCAAGAACCTTTAATTTAAAAAAATATTTTTTTAATTAAATATAGACTTACAGTCCATTGATTGTTATACGTGCCAGAATTATAGCTAAAATAAATAAAGTAAAACCTCATTTTTAGATAAACCCTTAAAGCTGGAAATTATCCTATGATCAGTGGATATTATTTATTATAATAGTAACTAGAATAGCACGCGACCCTTTAGTGTTGGGGGTGTTGGAGATAGCGGTTGCCGGGATACAGCCTACGGTGTTAAAGTCTGGGGGTTTGTCAAAAGATCGTATTGGGCGAGGGTTTCAGGGATCGGAGGGGTAATTTGATAATAACTTTAACTAGGAGCGGTGGATTGGTTAGAGATTAAAGGGTAGGGTACACCTTAGAAATTAAAGGGTACAATCTATAATTTTGGGGTTTCCAAAATGAGGTTTAACTGTATTTTGAAATAAATATTAAAATTTAATAAAAAAAGTATTTAAAATTATTTTTCTCTCATTTACCGTCCAAACAATTGTACCCAATCCCGAGCAGTTTTAGATAAGCGATTAGCAAGATATGAACGTAACCAACAATGTAAATGTTTGTTTTCTTTTACTTTCTCATATAAAGGTTCATTAAAAACAGCAATTGTTGTTTCAATTGAAAGCTTTTTTTATTTTTAAATTTAAAAAATAAAATGAAGCTACTAACCAATCCAGCACTAGTTAAAGTATAATCATCGGCAGAGGATAAAGCAGCTGGATAACCAGAAAAGGTAACAATATTACCAGGGGATTTTTTAGTATCTTTAAATTAAAGTTAATTTAAAAGATGAGTAAAGGAACCAAAAGCAAATTTGTAAAGTTTTAATATTCTATTCATTGTATTATATCCAGCCATTGATACATGAGACATTAATCTTAAATTAATTATTTTTAAATTAGTCCTCTAGATGCATACATATTACTAATTTTAAGTTTTTTAAATCTAAGATAATTTAAATAAAGTTTGTGAACACACAATGGGAAGGTGCCAGTTTTAGTTTTTATTCTGTACAGAGGTTATAACAATTCACAGAAAAATTTTAATGCTCTTTAAAATTTCCGTCTTGGAAAAGAGATATGAGTTGTGGGCAGAAATATATTTCTTAAATTGTATTTTGGTCGCGTATTTACCAGAGTTTCACCGACAGAAAACCAAATTCCCGATTTTTGTGAAACGTGTCGGCGCGAGTATTTTTTTATAAATTTTTTTTTCTAAATCCTACATATTTTTCTAGTATGTATTTATAAATTAGATTTTTTGTACTTAAACTTAACATTTTCCAAATATCAGCCCTGGCATATGATACTTTTTTAAAATTATTTAATTACATACAAATCTTCATTTCCTTCTGTTATTTTAATAAATCCAGAACAATGACTTGGTTCATTTTCCAAATTTGGATTCTTTTTAAAAACGTGTTCCAAATCATAAAAATCACCAGACATTTGAATTAAAAGAATTGAATTATTTTTAAATTCAACACGCGGATAATAATCACCAGAAATATTGATATCTTCATAACCTTTATTTAAAATAAATTAACATTGAATAAGTAATAATAATTATTTTCCAAAACAAGATTCCATTGTGTTTGTTCGTTAACTATTTAAAAGGGGTTCTAAATAGAAGGGACCTAAAGGACCCTAAAAAACCCCTATCTCAGAAGGGGTAAGACCATAACTCAAAATTCCGATAATCTAACTTTCCGAACTCTAAAAATCCAAAATTTTATATTTATTTTGAGAAGGGGGGGGGGTATTTTAGAGAATATTTGGTCTTAATAATATTTTTAATTTTAAATTTTAAATATTTCCAACCATCATTAATTCCAGTTAATTGTGTAAAAGTCTAAAAATATTTAATTAAAGAATATTTATTTATACTAATTTTCTAACCAACTCAACATGACGCCAATAAATATCATTTTTAGCTAATGAATTAACCTGTATATTTTTAAATTAAAGTTTAAACAAATTATAAATTTAAACTTTCGATTTAATCCATTTAAGATTTGTTTTAATATAATTATGCAATTGGTCACAATATCCTGCACTTGCATTATTACATATTTGGCTAGCAGTATTTAAATAATGAAGATGAATTTGATTTTTTGTTAA